TCAGGTCTGTGCAGTGTCCTATGACATCTATGTACCAAATTTCATTGAAATGTGATGTTTACTACTTGAAATATCCAAAGCTGAAATTTAATTAATTATGCAAATTAGGTAATTAATATCTACTGATATTACCCTAAAAACTATCAGGTCTGTGCAGTGTCTTACGATATCTATGTACCAAGTTTCATTGAAATGTGATAATTACTACTTGAGATATCAAAAGCTGAACATTAATTAATTATGCAAATTAGGTAATTAATATGTACTCATATTACCCTAAAAACTATCAGGTCTGTGCAGTGTCCTATGACATCTGTGTACCAAGTTTCATTGAAATGTGATGATTTCTACTTGAAATATCAAAAGCTGAAATTTAACTAATTATGCAAATTAGGTAATTAATATGTACTGATATTACCCTAAAAACTATCAGGTTTGTGCAGTGTCCTATGACATCTATGTACCAAGTTTTATTGAAATGTGGTGATTAGTACTTGAGATATCGGTGGAAAACCCGAAAATTGATTAATCATTATGCAAATTAGATGATTAATATTGCACAGATTTTTACCCAAAACTAATAAAATCTACGCATTAGTCTGGAGCATCTATGTGCCAAGTTTCATCAAAATCCAATGAGTGATTCTTCAGATATCAGTGGAACAGTCATGGCACAGCTAAAAATGAGCTAATTATCATGCAAATTAGGTAATTAATATGCATAGATTTTTACCAAAACCTAATCAAATCTGCGCATTGGTCCAGAGCATATATGCACATAGTTTCATCAAAAATCAATGTATGGTTCTTGAGATATCAGTGGAATAGACACACACACACACACACAGACACATGGACAGACACACTAACTGCAAAGACAATCAAAGAAAGCTTAGAAAGAACTCCCATGTGCTGAGAGTATTGGAGACACATTAAAAATTAATTCAAAATTACTTGAACTTGAGATGTTGATGGAAACGCAGAAAATTAATTATGCAAATAAGGTAACGAACAGATTTAAGTGTAAAACTAATAAGGTCTGCACAATGTACCAAGTTTCATTGAAATGTGATTAGAACCAAAAAAATATTAATTATTATGCTAATTAGAGAATTAATATGAACAGATTTTAACCCAAAATTAATCAGGCTGTCTATTGTCCTAGACCATTTATGTACCAAGTTTTATTCAAATGTGATGATCAATACTTGAGATATACAGTATTAATTAATTATGTTAATTAGGTGATTAAGAAGCATAAATATTTATCAAAAACTAATATGGTGTATTTCATTGAAATGTGACAGGTAATCTTAAAAAGTTTCGTTGAAATTCAATGAGTGGCTTTTAGACATCAGTGCAACAGCCATAGAACAGCAAAAAATTAACTAATTATGCAAATTAGGTAATTAATAGGCACAATTATTTATCCCAAAATTAATCAGGTCTCTGCATAGTCCTAGAATATCTATGTCGCAAGTCTCGATGAA